TATTTATACCCTTCGGAGTGTTGAAACACCCTCCAAAGGCGCGCCCCTTTGTCAGTCAAAATTGGATTCCTTAGCAACAAAATTAAGGTATGACACCGATAATAACCATGCATCAGAAGCCTAGTCTTAACCACTTCAAACTAGGGAACAACGAATAGAATATTAGGAATCACATAGATGAAGACAACTAACTCGTTTTTTTTTTCCTTGTATCAAGATCATCCTCGGTAGACAAAGCCGAGTCTTGTCACTATCAACAAGGCGTAAAAAGTAACAAGGACTAAGATGTGTTCCTTGGATTACTGAAAAATCCTGTTCCCCTAGTTTGAAGTTGTCAGGAACTAGGGAACAACGAATAGAAGATTAGGAATCACATAGATGAAGACAACTAACTCATTTTTTTCCTTGTTTCAAGATCATCCTCGGTAGACAAAGCCGAGTCTTGTCACTATCAACAAGGCATAAAAAGTAACAAGGACTAAGATGTGTTCCTTAGATTACTGAAAAATCCTCTTCACCTAGTTTGAAGTAGTCAGGACTAGGAATCGGTGGTAGATCTTACATCCCGTAACGTACCACGAAAAGGTGATCTACCCACGTTACGGGGCCGCAGTTAAGATAGGCAGCATGCTATGATAGTGTAAATGCGCATAGAAAGCCCGTGTGGAACGCTACCATAACACATTGCTTGTTGAGCAGAAAAACGAACCAATTTTTGATTCACCGATTTGTTTGCACTTCTCCTTCTGTTCTGTGCTAGATCTGTAGTATTTTACAACTCTCTCTGTGCTTTGTTATACGACTTCTGGTTGCCTGCGTAGCCATCTAGGGAGCTTCCACCTTCGGTGAAGTTATTCAGCTGACTAAGTCCTTCTAAATGGTAGACAGATTTGTTTAAAATTCTCTCACTATGCAGCGCTAGTATGTACGTGACCTTCATGTATAAATTATACCTTGATATCCGGTTCATCTTCGAAGTTGCTGTCTTCGGGAGGGTTGTTCAAGTTATTGAAATCTTCATGTTGAAAGACAGGTCAGATCACAATGTTCTTACTATACTGCAGCTTTTGGATGGAGACAGTTAAGTGCAGAATGTTTCCAATATGTAAGGTATCTTATGATAACCGGCAGTCGCCATCTTAGATTTTTAAATTGATGTCAGACATCGATTTCCGATCTAACCCCGTATTTAGCAGTTTAATGTCAAATAGCAACCTTCTCCGATTTGCATGAAACTTTGCATAATTGTTTGTTATGGGCAATAATTTGCAAAAATTCGGTCATTTTGGATCTTGTAGATTTTTTTCAATAAATTTTACCACGAAAACATCACTTGTGATCGAAAAGACATCTGACACAAAGTTGTTGAGAAAAATAAAATCTTACTGGAAAAAATAAACAAATTTTGTTTAGTTATTTTGACAAAAAAAAAATCAAAAAAATGTTAAAACTTAAAATTTTTGGAAAAGTATACTTTTATTTGTTGTACTTTTTTCAAACAAAAGCTTACGAAAAAGGCAAAGATTTGTTATATTTAAAGCCATGGACACATAAAAATTTACATACCAATTAATCACATATTGAATCTTTCTGCTAGTAAGCTTTTTAATATAATTTTTGCACCGAAAACGATTTAGAATGATTCACCCCCTACGTATTAAAAATCACCGTCCACAGTACTAAGCTTTTGAATAAAACAAAGTATTCAAAAGGGATTTTCTCCTTAAAACGCCTCCGACAAAACTAAATCACTTCGCCCCAAGATTCCTTTGGTAAGAGCTGTGGTAGATAGTTGCTTCCTTCCCGGAAACAGTTAGTAAGTGACCGAGGAGAAACTAAACTCAACCATAAAATTATGGCGATTTGCACACTACAGGAGATCGTTCGTTCGTCCGTCCGTTAGGTTTTTCCCAGGCTCTCTATATAATGAAATTAGTTTTTGAAATCAAATAAACTCATCCCCACCGGAATGCTGGTGGTACTCTGCTTACTCACGATATGAGAGCAGGAGAAAGAGTCCTAAGAGTTCATGGGGTGCGATGCGTCTTTGGTGGCTTCATCAACAACACACCGGGATGAAGCGCTGTCAAGTGGAAATGAGCTGCATGTTTGTGTTACATTTTGTTCTTCTTCCGGTCATATCAGGATCTTCAGACTGAATTCAAAAAAGCTCTGACTGCCACTGTGAGTAGAATGGTAAGGTTTGCTTTATACGAGGAAGGTGTATACTCTCTGCTAAGCTGACTGAGCCTTTGGAGTAATTTTCTGTTGGTAATTCAATTTGCGTTTCCTTTTTACCATCTCCAGCACCGTACTTGGGAACGTTAAGGCTTTATTGCTTGAGATTTCACAGCTCCTTTTGCACCATAAGTTGTGCACATCTTGTTGGAATTGTTAGAGCATGCGAGCGTGAAATCAAAACTGGAAAAACAGTAACTTCAAATGAAATTACGAATTCCTGAAGTGAAAGGAAGATGAAAGAGTGTACATTATGCACTTATATATAACTTTTTCTTTTAGGTAATGTGAATATATTTGAATGTTAATAAAATTCTGATTTTAAAGTACCAGATTTCAGCTGTTATATCTTTCGTATATAAAAGCAATATAATGTACAGAACTCTGCTTTTCATTCTACGAAGATTTTTCATTCATTCATTCATTCATTTATTCATTCATTCATCAACAAATTAACCTTTTACGCACTCAAAAAAAACAAAGGAAGAGAATTTCATCCGCTCAACGGGTATGCGGTATCTTTCGCAAACATGGACCAACCGGCAACAATAAATCGAGAAAAAAAACTCTGACACACCACCCCTAACAAACATGTTCCACTAGAGATTGTCATAAATATTAGTCAAACTGCACCGAGTGAGGCATGGTAGCCAAAGCTTAAGGCGGTGAAAATGAAGGAAATCAAAAGAAGTAAACACTCCACCCGAGAGTTATAAACCATTCTATTAAGATCGTTTAGAGTATAATTTTTGGTTTGTTTCAAGGTGAATGGTGTTTGTGAGCTACTTTGGTAGAATACGGGAGTGACTTAATTGAGTTGAGGGTCAGACTCCAGACTTGAGATGGAATTTCAAACCTGGCATTTAGATGTTGGGAAAATGGTTGAATTTGGAAATAAATACAAATTTAAAATTTTAAGAGAGATAATTTAAAGCCTTTTTCTTTGTTTTGTACTTCTTATGATTCATTCATGATGAAAAAACTTGAGGCTTTCGATGTGGTCTGATGATTTTCTAGTATGTATATGGATAAATTTAGATAAATTTTAAACACTCCAATCCTGTTAAGTAATTTTACTGATTAATACCAAAATGACTTTATACACCAACATGGGAAATGTGAAACAGTTTTGAATAAACGATATGTGAAATCTTTTTATAAACCATGTAGATTGTGTAATGCAACCATTGCAAGAATTTTGAATTATCGTTTGTGTCCATATCAAAAACAAGGTATATTTTCCTTGAACCTAAAAAACAATCTTCTGAATGCTTGTTAGAAATAGTGAGTAATTAATTTATTTATTGTTAAATACAATTTGTTGGTAGCACTACAAAAAAGCTAACAGAAGATTAAAGAAACCCATACTTACACTTATTTAATGAATTCGTCGTTTGTTTGGCGTGTTCTATTGACCGCTCCAATGAGACAGTCACTAACACGGTTCGGTATTCTCCTGTAGGGACCATGACCTTTTCTTTTTCTCGACAGTTTTTCATGACATAGAAACGTGACCGGTCGGTGGTTCTACGAAGTGTAAACCTCTGGTCAAATGGTAGGGTTAAGATCTAGTTTCCGTCATACTAAGCTCAACCCGTACTTGACCTCTCTTTTGTCGAACGGGTTTGAACAAAAGTGGAATATTTCTATCAAAGATGATCTCTAAATTTATTTTCCTTCCCATTGTATTTGATTTGCCTCAAATTGTTGAGATATTGTTAGAAATATAACACTACTACGTGATTTCAATACCGACCAAAAACATTGAAACGTCATTGAATTCACTTCGGCATTCGGATGAAGGCAGACATAATGGATTCACTTGGAGTCCTTATTTTGTTTTTCAGATGGATGGGTATTCAACTTATGCGTTATTATAGACTTTGTTTTGTAGCTTTTTAATTGAATTATTGTACCAAATGAATATTTAATTCGTTCTCGTCTAAATTATTGAAATATTTGATGTTTCTGCTATGACGGAAATGGGCGAATATGTCGAAGTTGTTTTCTACCCTACTTGCTCCGGATTTGTGCCTGTACGAAGGTGTACGACACATTCAGCTGTGGTGGAAATGATGGGAGTTGAATTTATTGAACCCGTGATGGTGATGTCAACCGAAGCCAGGTCACATTATGCTGGTTATAAAAATATCATATGACATACAGTCAGAACACGTACTTTGAGCACAGTAATGGTTACGTGTCGAATGGGAGTCACATTTTTCATGAGTTTACTCTGTGGAATTCATTGTTACGGTGGAAATAATGGATGAACACTCCTCTACGGTTAAAAGATATTATTTTGTTAAAAAAGCTTAAATCTTTCTGACTTTCTAGAAATTGCTACAATGAGGGTTAAAGTTTTTCCGAGCATTCGCTCTTAGTGTGAGTAAACAAGCTTTAGGCAAGGTTTCGTTTTCAACTCGAATAAGATTCGTCATTTACATTCGCTTACTGAAAATCTACTCGACCAACCAACTTCTAGACAACGATACGAAGTCGTTCAGCCTTACAAGTGTTTTCGTCTGTTCCAACTCTACTTGTCGGTTTTAGCTGTATGCAATGCACCAGATGAACGCAACCAATATTATCCCATACAACCACAGACTCAGTGAGGATAGGTCTGCGGAGGATGCGAGACAAGAGAGCGAAGGGGGTTTGTTAGTTGTTTTTGAATTTATGTTTTTCTCCCGTCTACGGTTGTATGAGTGGCTTGTACCAAAGTTCTAAAAATAAGTTTCTTTACATGTTGTAAAGCGCAGATAAAAACAGCGAAAAAACATCGAAAGACTATAAATATACACTCGTGCTAAGTAATCTGTCTCGAGGAGATAGCATTACGAGAGGAAGAAAAGTGAACTGCTTCTGGTTGAGGCTGCTAAAATGTTGCTGATAATTCCGATGACCTAGGTAAAAAAGAGAAAACATGGTGCAATTTGCAGTTAGCCAAAACGAAGCAACGGACAAGTGCTACATGACAATTTAAAATAAACTTTGCTCAATCTCCAGCGAAATAGCCCCTCTTAATCCCTCGTCTATCGTAGTAAATCGTTACCGTTACTGTTAATGCACCAGTGTTTAGAAGAAAATTTCTGGTTTCATTTCCACCTGTGAGCAGCTCATAATGATTTGCGTTGTTGCGTGACCTTTGGAATGAACTCATTGTTAGTAACCTATTCATAATACTCCAAACTGTTGTATTTCAAAGTTAAATTCTAACTCCCCCTCGTACTTTCTAGTCCAGTTGATTGTTGTTACTGTTTTTCGAAACAGCCACGAAACTTTGCCAATCTAAACTCTTAAAAAGTTTCCATTAAATACAAGCTCAAATATTGAAGAAAGGAGAACGCATGCGAACAAAATCTCATTCCAGCAGTGCGATGAAAGTTGAAAAGTGAAATTACGTGAAAACAGTCATACATGTGAACCAGTGCCAGTGCAAACAGTTTGTAATCACGCCAGAGGGAGCGGGAAAAGTTGCTAACCCAATTTGAGGAAGGCGAAGAAAGCCATAAAGAAGTGAACAAACTTGTGCGGGAGTGTCAACTCAGTTAACAGCTGAAAAAAAGCGCAAACCGGACAACGAACTTCCAAAACGTTCTCCATTCCAGAGGAAACAAAAAGAGCACATATTGTACAAATTCCCGATCAGAAGCGAGCCAACTGATTCGGCCATTATTGCCTGGAACAATTAAATGACTTGACGTAGAGCTAGCCGCCCCCTGTACCTCAAGGTGATTCTCAATTCTATTCGCTTAGTTTCTTCATTTTTAGTTTCTCGGTATCACTTGCTCCAGTCGTTGACAAACCAGACACAACTGTATATATAACAATCCATTTTTATCTTGCAGTTTATTATCGATCGTTAACCCTCTCCCACAGAAATAATGAACATGCCCAAATCTATTCCGATTTTCATTCTCTGTAACCTATTGATTGCTCGAGCACCAACCGAAATTTAAACCAAGTGCATCATCCTGGCCTGCCCACACCATTACCGTAGTGCAACCCCTACGTTCGAATGATTAGATGCTTATAAACACCGACCTAGTCTTTCTTAGAGAACAGGTGCGTAGACAACCCTGAATGGATTGGAACCCATTCTGAAAGGTTCCTGGTTTCGTACTTTGGCTTTGTGCATTTTTATTTGGCTCTTAATACTTTTCTATTTGATTTCATGCTGCATTGTTCGCTGAGCTTTCTTGGTTTTATGATTGTTGCATTTCTTTCCCCCTGATGACATATTATATATTTACTTGTAGAGATTATTTGGTACGATCGTAAACTACAAAGTTTTTCTTTATGTGTTCTTGGCAGCTCTATTTAGAAGCGTGGAATAAATTGTTGAGATAGTATCTGTAATTTACCGTTTGCATAAAGGAGTTATCTTGCATTATCTCTTTTCGTATCACACCTCACGCAAGTTTCAAGATTCAAGAGGCTAATGGATCTGAAATGTCAGGCATTGCCTGTATCTCCGTAGTAAACAACTAGTTTTTGTTTCAGCTATTTTGACTTTAAAAATCACAAGAAAATGGACTCTCCAAGGATTAACCAAGAAACAAAAATACACCCGAGATATTATTAATGATTATGTCCGAAGCTGAACTTTGAAACTATCACAAAAAAAAAATCACAATGCATCGATAATCAGAACATTTTGTAGGGCATGTTTCGTCAAAAATCAAAACATAATTTTGGACACTAATCACGTATGTGATTATGGATTAATTTAAGTTTGTTGGATTTTGATTTTACATCGTACCCCATGCACTATAGCCAAACACATTTACAAACACACAACTTTTCAATAAGGAGGTTCTTATCACATAGTGAATCATGTTCTAAAAAAAACTTAAATCATGCACACTATAAAATACGCATGTAAATATCCGTGTTCTAAACCCCACACGCAAGCGTCACTTAGGTATGCAATCCATAATCCAAACAATTTTTCCATCGCATTTTAACGATTTCTCGAACAGGCACAACCTAACGAACTCATTCCGATGAAGTAATGAAATTGGGTTGTTAGCGGAGTGTTTAAATAAAACAACAAAAAAGGGTTATATTCCATTTAATTCCACTTAAATAATTTTGGTATCCATGACAAATACATATTTCGACTGCAATGTGCAGTCTTCATCAGTGTCATTTAAGCATACCGCTAAGTATTTTGGAACTTACATAAATTTTTTTACGCGGATTATGGAATTTACGCGGTTTGTCTTACGTGGATTTTGGAATTTACGTGGTTGTTTTTACATGGTTTATTATTACGTGGCCCGTAACTCCCGCGTCAAAAGTGACTCCAGTGTATGGCATAGATTCTCTTAAGCATTATTTAGTTGTTTATATTCGTAACATACCATCAAAAGTGATTTTAGGAATCGATAAAATAATTTGGATATGCCACTAATCAAAAATTCATAATGGGGAAAAATGCACCCATGCTGGAGTAAGTTGCACTACAACAATGGGGCACCATAATGATGAGGCAAAATGCACCCCAACAATGAGGTAAAATGCTCTACAATAATTGGGCAATATGATTCTCCTTGCCGTCTTATAAATGATCAAGACCAATTGAGGCAGAAGAACGTCTTCATTTTAACTGCCTCCAGTTCCAATTGTAGTTGTTCAAAGGTCCATGGCCCTTCATACAATGGTAAATTGAGCACAACCGGGTATCGTACTCGATCAAGTCTTACGAGGTGGACAGTCCACTGTCTAATGGCTGTGCCTTGCAACAATAAGTGGTATCCTTTCCATACATACATACATTACACACATACATAAAATAAATATACATATTAAAATTTACCGGTATTTTATCTGAAAGGTGTAGCTCTAACCTCAGTCAAATGGGTTATATCTTTCACCGACGCTTAAAAATGTTTGAATCGCTAAAAAATCACAACAATCTTATGACAAAATTGCATGACAGGGTAGAGAACTACTTCGGCCTAATCGCCCATTTTGGGCCTATCGATCAGAAAACTTCAAATAAATCCATGATTTCAGTGTTAACAAGTCTATTATGCGTTTGGTACGATACTTTAGTTAATAAGCTACCGAACGAAGTCAATGAGCACGCGTGATATGAAGGTTTGCAACCATTATTCCCAAAAACAAAACAAGCGCTCCGACCGAATCAATTTTTATCTTCATCCGATAGGCCGAAGTGAATTCATTAGCGTTTCAATTGCGTTTCAATGCGCTAGGCCGAGTTTAGAATCCGAAGGCCGAGTTGGGCGTCAAGAAGCAGTGTTAGACTTTTGACAATATCTCAACGGTTGGTTTCTCTTTATCAAATCTTACGGTACGTACGGAAAGGTAACTAAATTTGGAAGCCATCAGTAATACTAACATTCCGTTTGGTGCTAAACTGCTCTAGATTAAGAAAGACTAAGTGCGGGTTGTGCTTAATAGGCCGGGAATGGGGTAGTTAACCATATTCAATCCAAACTGGTTTTTGTTTTTATTTACATTATCTGATAGCATAGAGCAACCAAATTGAAACGGTGTCCAAAGCAAACATAGATTTAACTTGATTTATAAAAATGCATGTTAGCCCAGATCTACAACCCTCATTTTGTGCGGCCCGCATCGAGTTCATCTTTGTCAGACGATTAGAATCATGTTTGCGGTTTTCGGTAACAGTTTTTGAGATCTGAGATGCAACGAGTGTTGCGCCAACAATGTTTAATTTCTTATTAAATGACTTAGGTGCTCAAACACTATCAGAATAAATAAATCTAGCGTTAAGAACGATAAGGCCGTAACTGCGATGACCGATTCTCTTCATTTATTTTATCTTTTGTTAATAGCTCGTCTGGATTAACATTTCTCAGTGCGCTTGAAATTGCTTTGCTTCTTATTACAACCTTTCACATGTTTTGTAAAATTGGTTCACTTAACTGTGGTAATGCGAACATAAAATCGATCATCGCCCTTATGATTCTAAACGCTAGAAAAAGCTGCATTTTGAATCATCCCCTATAAGTGGTCGGCGATCATGTGGCAATTTGAACCCTAGTATCACACTTGTCATAAAACAGTTGCGGAACCATCATAAACTAGTTCCTACAACTTTTCGTTACGGCAGTGAGCTAATTGGAGAGATCCTTTCTATGTTTTATTTATATAGTTTTGCAATTTACAATGCTTGTTTAATGACACAAAAGCATTTGATTCTATAAACATGTGGGAAACCGCTTAAAACCCGACAAACCGAGATTGATAAATTCACATACCGTAATCCGGGGGCAAATTGATCAAAATGCTTTGCGTTTTCAGCTGTCGTGTAGAAAATTTTCGATAATTTATATCTAGAGAAATGTTGAATACACTGCAGTCGCTTTTTACGCGGTTTTTTTTTACACGGTTTTTTTTTACGCGGTTTTTTTTTACGCGGATTTCGGAATTTACGCGGTTTTTTTTTTACGCGGATTCCGGAATTTACGCGGTTTTTTTTTACGCGGATTTTGGTTTTTTTTTACGCGGATTTCAGAATTTACGCGGTATATCGCTTTTTACGCGGTTTTTTCTTACACAGTTTTTTTTTTACTCGGTTTTTTTTTACGCGGATTTCGGAATTTACGCGGTTTTTTTTTACGCGGATTCCGGAATTTACGCGGTTTTTTTTTACGCGGTTTTTTTTTACGCGGGACGTATCACCCGCGTAAAAAGCGACTCCAGTGTATATTTTATCAAGGAATTCTAATGATTCTTACGGAAGAATACGTTTTTTCAGGCATTCATGCTTGAACATTTTGGAATTCATAGTCTTGTTTGTCACGAAAACCTGGGTTTTTTGCCTGCAGCTGCAAATACCTTGCCAAATGATATACACTTAGATTTGTTTACCGAGATTGGCACCACCGAGCAGGCTCGGCATTTATCTTTACTGAGATCTCAGTAAAATTTATGTTTGTTAGCCGAGATCTCGGCAAAATTCCCGCTTGTTAACTGTATCTCGGCAAATTTTTCAGTGAGATCCAGCAAAATAGATTGCCGAGCTGCTCGGTGGGGCCCATTTCGACAAAAAGATCTAAGTGTGTAAGTTTTCTTGCAAATTTATCGGCAAAAATGAATTTGAACTTGCTAGGGACATCACCTCGACCAGTTTTATCCGGGAAGCTGCCCATAATCCATCTTCACGTACGTTTTGTCGTCCATGAGGATGCATCTTTCGTACTTTGTAAGAACATCATTGTACAACTTCCGGGCACGTCTTTAGGCCACTATATTCTGCTTCAGTGTCCTGTTTGGCTGCTTACTGACCCGAAAAGATCGAAATCCTTCTCGCTGACGAATCCTTCTGAAGGTGCTTTGGCTGGCATTGAATTTCTTGGCAATATCATAATCCGACAGCCCTGGGTTTTCCCTAACCGTTATCAACACATTCAAATGCAGCTTCCGATCCTTAGTTCCACTATGACGTTTGCTATGATCCTGCCGATCGATAGTATGCCGCTCATTTCATCGACTTCACGATTTTTGAATCTGACCACGTCGGATTTTCCAAGTGGGTGTCCTAAATTAATTTTCGGTTCACGGCTTCCATCAAGTAGAACTTCTTTTAAACAAAATGAATCGTGACGAACTTCTCAGCGCTGAAAAAGGAACCATCTCAAAACAAACTGCTGTCAAAACATTCCAGATCCTACCGCTAGGAGCACTACAATAACATAAACAGTGCGTCCAGATACTAAATGACTCAAGTATTAGT